CTCTGCTGGCACGGGCTGTGGGTTCACCACCTGCAGTGGTGCTTCCTCGGGGAGCGGCGCGGGGTCTTCACCACTGCCACCGCTGCGGGACCCTTCATCTTTGCAAGGACCTGGGCACCACTGGAGGGATTCAGTTGTGAACTGTCCTGAGGCTGCTGAGCCAGCGCTGGAGAGCCCAGGGGTGCAAAGCTCTCCTGAAGTCCTCATCCGTTCTTCCTTCCTCGCCTTCAGAGCTGGGAAAAGAGCCGAGTCCCCTGCCCCGTCCTGCCCCCCGCACAGGCAGCGTTGCAGCAGAGCGGGGCGGAGGCGTCCCTGTTCCACCCGTGGGGCTGCTCTGGGATGTACCCCACCCAGCGATGCTGGCATCGCTCTGAGCTTGGGATCAGGGCGGGTGAGCACTGACACAGTCCTCCAGCAGCAGTGGGACCCGGGCAGGGGGTTGCCCTGGCTTTGGGGCAGAGCAGCCTCACAGCCCCTGGCCCGGAGGGTTCCCCGTCCTGCCAAGTCCAGGGTGTCCCAGCCGCTTGTTTGTCAGAGCGTGTGCAAGCACTGATGCCAGGAGCTAATTGCCCTGGGCCGAGGCCAAGCCTTCAGCAGAAGCAGGTGCTCTGCAGCCCTCCCCGCTCCGCACACCACTGCCACCGCTGCCGGCTGTCCCCAGTGCTCGCCCGGTGCCCGGGGCAATGCCAGCCCTGGGTCCCCTCAGGCCATTTGCCTCCAGCTCTATCTGTCCCGGCCACTGAGCACCAAATCGGGCTTTCTCGCCCCGAGGGGGCTGGTTGCATCCTCCCCTCTGCGATGCCACCCCCAGCTCTGCCCAGGACTCCCCAGCATTGCCCCATCCAGGGAGCCAGGCTGGGGCTTTGCTCCGGTCCCTGTACCTGGGTGAGGAGTCCCAGCTCCTCCCAGTCCCACCTGCCCCTCTCCCCGGCCCGCAGCCCTGCAGCTGCGTACCAGGGCTGCAAAACTTACTGGAAATCCTGTAGATGCAAATCCCGGCCTCCCATCCGTGCCAGGAACTTGAGCTGCAGTCCCAAGAGGGCAGCAGGCTCCAAGCGTGCAGGCCTCCCCGCTCACCATCACCTGGCCTTGGAAATCCTCTTTGAAGTTTCACCGGGGCCAGAGGACACAAGGGGGTCCATGGGACCCCTGTGGCCGGGCAGACGTGGGGGGCAAAGCTGGCAGAGCCCAGCACAGCTTCCCAAAACCTCCGCCCGTTCTGATGGATGGGGCGGTACTCTGTTGATTCAGACTCCCTGGCTCCATCCCAAAATCTCCCAGCTCCAGGATCAATGGATGTTCCCAAGGTCTGGGCAGGTGACAAGGCACGGTGGGACCTGCCCCATCCCCGCGTGCAGTGACCCACAGCACCAGCTCAGCACCAGCTCCGTGTCCCTGTTAACCAGCCCCCGGGTGCTCAGCCCAGCCGGGAGCGATGGGCATCACTGGCCCTGGACAGCTGCGCCTGCAGCTTTTGAAGTTTCTTTCATTACCAGGGGGCTGCTCGGGGTCCAGCCTGCAAAAGCAAAACCTGAGGAGGCAGGACAGTGACAGTAACGGAGAGGGCAGCTGATGGGTGGCGGCAGCATGCTTTCTCCCCTAATCTATTAGCAGCTTGCTGATTCCAGCAAACAATTTAGAGAAGTGATGTCTTCGTTTTAAAAAAAAAGCAGTAGTTCTTCTTCACTTACAAACGTAGCTCTGCCGAGGCTTCTCTGGCAAGCCTGGGACATCAGCCTGGATATTCCCCATCCAGCTGCAAAGGGG